TTGGTGCCAAAAAAAGATGGAAAATGGAGGATGTGTTGTGACTGTAGAGCTATCAACAACATCACCATAAAATATAGGCACCCAATCCCTAGGCTTGATGACATGCTTGATGAATTGTATGGGTCATCCATATTTTCCAAAATAGATCTTAAAAGTGGATATCACCAAATTAGAATCAAGGAAGGTGATGAGTGGAAAACTGCTTTTAAGACTAAGTTTGGTCTATATGAATGGTTGGTAATGCCTTTTGGACTTACTAATGCACCTAGTACATTCATGAGGCTAATGAATCATACTCTTAGGGATTGCATTGGTAGGTTTGTAGTTGTTTATTTTGACGATATTTTAATCTATAGCAAAAGTCTAAGTGATCATGTGGATCACCTAAGACAAGTCTTACTTGTTCTTAGAGACAATCACTTGTTTGCTAATGTAGACAAGTGCACTTTTTGTGTGGATAATGTTATTTTTTTAGGATTTGTGGTAAGCAAAAATGGGGTTCATGTGGACCCCGAGAAAATCAAAGCCATCCAAGAATGGCCTATTCCTACTAATGTTAGTGAAGTTAGGAGCTTCCATGGTTTGTCAAGCTTTTATAGAAGATTTGTTCCTAACTTCTCTACATTAGGCTAACCCAAGGTCACCTTAACCTAATGTATTCCTATAAATCCTTGTGGCCGAGACTTGTAAGCTCACTTTAGATTATATTGATGAGTTCTATTCTCTCTAGAATTCATCCCTCCGAAGTCACCAATTTCCTAACTCTACCCTCCTTGAGTGCTTCTCTTTGTAGAGCTAGGAACCCTAATCTTCTTTGGACTTAGCTTGTATGCAAGCTTAGGTCACATTGAGTCTTCGTGGAACCTCCATCCTTGAAGCTTCTTCCAAGGACATCCGTGAAGACTTGAAGCATCCATGTGCATTCCAAGTGGAAGCACATCAAAAAATAGTCACCACAAAACAAGGGAGTTAGATACGTCTCACTCTAACTCTCGGTGTTAGATGAGTCCAAACAACTACACACATAAACACATACTAAGGGATATAATATCAATTACGTAATTAAAGCAACAATATTTTAAACAATACTCACTCATATATCAAGCACATTCATTCACATTCACATGTCATACAACATACACAAATGATTTTAAGAATGTAAGCAACACAACAAAATTATAAACAATCACAACTCATACACTTGATGCAATAGACATAAACTTATCTAGATCTACATACATGTGATGCCAGTAAAACTCATGTATAATTGTTTGAAGGCTAATACTTATGTACAATTGCCTAAAGGCCAATTGTTTAAGGTAAAATCTCTTCATTTTTTTCTTCAATATTGACCATTTCCAAAGCACATTAGATTCATGAAAAAGTAAAATATTTTTCTAACATATTTTTATTGTTATTTTTTTGCACACTTTCAAATCAAAAAATGATTCTAAAAGAGACATCTCTCTTGATGTATCCATTTTTTAATCCTTAATAATTACATTACCGACAACAGGGCTCAAACCTAGGACCCCATGTATATTACCCCAACCCTCAATGTATCTTTGAATACCAATTTAATGAACAAATAAAAGGAAACACACAAGAACAGGTTTAATTGTGTGTTTTAAAAACAAACAACTTTTTAAAAAATACTTAAAGATCATCTAAAGAAAAACATAATTAAAAAAATAGATAGTACACAAAGCTTTTATATTGGTTCAATCTATAACTTAGAACAATGTTTATTTTCTTCACCTCTAAAGGATTTTTCACTAATTCAACAATAGTACTCAAATGTATACTTATATTTTAAATATCATATTATACGTTAAAATAAAGTGATGTGATGAACTCCAAATAATTATGGAATTGTATGAATTTTGTATACTTGATCTAGTGATTAAATTTATATTCTATAAAAACTCATTGAAGGTATAATTTCACTAATTTTGACAACTCAAATGCTGTCAACGAATCTTAACCTTTTAATTTTTTATCCATTAAAATAATTACAATGATGACACTAGGATTCAAACCTAAGACCTTTTGCTTTTAATTTTTTAATTCATTGAAAATACAATGATGACACTAAGATTCGAATCTAAGACTTTGTGCATTAATTCTATTCTAAACTCCTCCCCTCCCCCCCTTCACCACTAGGTTGACCTTAGTGGTTCAGCCTAACCCTTTATTGATAATATATATATATATATAATCTTTTATTTAATAATAAATAATATATGTACTTTAATTCCATTTAAAGTCTATATATTATAATTAAGGGTGAAAATAGGTTAGATAGCTTATCAAGAGCAGACAATTATCTTATTTATTAAAAATATCAAGCTTAGAATTTTTAACTTAAAAAAAGTTAAGGCTTTAGTTTCTTAAAACTAGTCATTTTTCAACCTAATTGTAACTTTTATTTATTTATGAAAGAAACCATTACATCACTAGTTTAGTGTTGTTGGGATCTGGGGTTAGTTTTTCAACTCCACCAAATTCGTTGCATATTGAAATAATGTTTTGAACTCTCACCTGTTAATGTATGGACTTCACCTTTTAAAATTTTAAAGTGAGAAGTAAAAATTTAAAAATATTTCCAAAATTCTCAAAAATTATAGATAGAAGGAGGAAAACATTAAAATATTAGTCCAAATAATAACAAATTATATATTAACATTTATGGCTCACAAAGATGAGAATATAATTTTTTTTTTTAAAAAAAAGGGAGGTAGTATAATTCAAACATCTCAAACAAGTTAATAAAGATATATATGATTATTCAACTATTAAATTTGAAATAAACATATGTGTGGAAGATTGTATGTAAAGGATTTTGATGATGCCAAAGAAGTTGTAGAAAACAAGAAGTCAAGTTAAAGAAAGGTGATCAAGAAACAAAAATCTCAAAGGGTTTTAGATAAGTCTTGTCAACCTAGCTTAATATGTAAAAAGAAATCTTTAGAAATATTGCATAAGATTCTTGGCCATTTAAAATAAAGAATTTCAAAGAAAACCCAAATATAATTTTTTATATATAAATAAGGTTTTGAAAATAGAAGTTTTCTATATTAAGTTTTAAATGAGGTAATTATTGTTTTAAGAGTCTGGTAATTGATTACCATTACATGTAATCGATTACCAGAGGATGAAACTCATATATTCAAATTTTGCTTTATTAAAACTTGCTCTAGTAATCGATTACCCATCCTTGTAATCGATTACCAGAAGATAAAAAATTAAAATTTGAATTTAAACTTTACAACGTTCCAATCATTTTGAAATTAAACCGTTGTAATCGATTACCAAGTCTTGTAATCGATTACTAGAGCCTATTTTCTAAAAAAATTTAGAAAGACACAACTCTTCATGAAAAGTCATGACCTATGAAACAATCATCTATAAATACCAATAATTCTTCAGAAAAAGGTTACGAACTCAATTGTGAAAAATTATCTTTACAATCACTTGGCCAAAATCATTTGCAAATATTATCTAAAGAGTTCTACTAGATCAACAAGTGTAAAATCCACTCTTCAAAGAGAGTTGTTCTACTTCATTCATCTCATCTATTGATTTGTAAAGGAGAAAGTGTTGTTCTCCTTGGTGGTCTGTGATTCTCAACACGAGGAAAGGGAATTCCTAGGTGTTGGAGAATTTGAGTCTTGTAAAGGTTACAAGCATAGTGAAAAATCTCAAGTGGGAGACTTGAGGACTGGATGTAGGCAAGGTTGGCCGAACCAGTATAAAATCAAGTTTGCAATTCTCTTTCCCTATACTTTTAATTTTGTTGTGAAGTTTTTGCATCATTACATACAATTTGTTTATGATATTGCTTTTATAAGAAAGAAGTTAGAAAAACTTATAAAGAGAAGAAAAATTAGATAACTTAATTCACTCCCCCTCTTAAGTTACACGAGGCTACTTGACTAACAATATGAAATGAATGTTAATGCAAATTTTTTTTAAATTGATAATATAACAAAAGTTTTATTATTTATAAGCACATTAAACTGTTGAATAGAATAAAAACAAAAGTTCATGTTGATTGATAAACCATTGGCACAAAAGGAATATAGTTTATGCATCTTTATCCTTCCTTAATGGTATTTGATACATTTGCATACTAAGTTACAAAATATAACTAACTTCCCACATGATAGGGGCCAAAACTATATGTAGTAACACCTTCTGATATCCTTTTCCTTTCCATCCTTTGTATCATCGTTAGCATTGGATGGACAAATTTTAACCTAACTAGCAGCTTTGTAACTCTCAAAAATTAGGTTGCTAAAATCCTTTATGATTCAAATGGCTTACATCACCCCACATTTTTAAGGTCCATTGATCCTCACCATACAAATGAAAAATAGCGATGGATGCATTGTCTATTTTCCCTGCATAACTTCCATTTGCACCTGCCCACTTGTAAAGTGTTTCAATGGATGCCCCATGAGTCACAACAACAACTCGCTCCCCTAACCAATGCAAATAAAATACAAAATGGTTTAAATAACAAAATTTTAAAAAAATATTACTTATTTTGTTAAAAAGAAATTTTAAAACAAACTTAACAAACATGCATTTTACACGTTTTGTTAAAAAAATCTTAAATTATGAGTGTAAGCTTAACTTAATCTTATAGAATTAACTTATAATATGATAATTGTTTCCACTTATATACTCTATCTTTACTTCATCTCTAATTGGTATAAGATCTCCAACAAAAATAAAAATGAACTTATTTTTTTAGGACAAATAGAAAGGCAGTACTAGAAGGATATCTTAATTCATATGGAAGGCATGTTACTAATAGCCTTTATATACCTTTATGTTTTCTTCCGATTCTCAACAATGCAGATTTGCAACGTTCAAATAGTTGAACGAAACTTTCTCCACCACCCTGCATGTATGAATAATCAAGTTCTAAATGACATGTAATGCAAACTCAAAGATTTGCTAGATTTGTCTAACAAATCATTCTTAGCATTTTAGTGTTCTCCAAATGGGTCATGATTATTTAATTGATCTTAAAAAAACATAGTTTTGAATTATCTAATCAAACATATCTCATTTCATATTTTAATAAAATAATATACTAATACGAACTAGGGGTTTTATATGTTAGCCATATCTATTGTACTTACAGGGAGTTCTTGATCACCATTATTAGACACCAAAGCCTCATAACCCATGGGATTAGTCTTTGCTAATTCATGATAAACAAGTCCTTGAAGATTCCCCATGTGTCTTTCTCGTAGGTCCAAATCCTTGACAACCTATAATTTCAATCAAAGAAAAATATTAATAAAACATAGATAGGTGGTAGCTAGAACACTCAAAATATCATCAAACTAGAATTAAAATAAACCAAATTATTGTAAACATAACATTAACGAGGAAGATATGCTTTAAATTAATTTTGCAAAAAAAATGGCTCTAAATATTCTCAAGAGAAATTGACAATGTTTTGTTACCATCCAAGGGAAAAAAAGATTCATCAGTGCCTGTTTTATAAGTATTTAGAAACAAAAAGATTACAATATGCATGGCCAAGTGTAATCCATTCAAGATCAAAAGGCCATAAGTGTTGGAATATCAACAAATTGAATAACTCAAGCATTAACATTAAAATGGAAATCATGAATGATTAAGATATTATCAATATGACAATTAAATAAATAAAATGCTACATTTGAATGATTGATTATTTGTACAAACCTTTAGCCCTCCACATTTGGTTGCAATTATTTGTGCTGTTTCAAAAGCTCGCTGCAAGTCTGAAGAATATATAATAGAGATCTTTGGTTCATTGTATAGTCTATTAGCCACCTATATTGTAAAATTTACATTAATTAGGATCACAAAGTCATAAGAAAACAAAGACATAAGTTAAGTTCTATTTTTGGTTTTTGTATGAAGAAATGAAAGAATCCATAAAGACGACTTACTGCAATTGCTTGTTGTCTTCCGGTTTCATTTAATTCAACATCCACTTGTCCCTATTTACATATACAAGTATTGGTGTTAAATTTTAACTTTGTCAAAGCAAGGAAACTAAAAGGTTCAACAAAAAATAATGAACAAGAAGAGAAATATTTTCAAATGCAAACACATAGGTTTTACGTTTCATGTTGTAGTACAAGGACCGGAAAAAAAAAAAAAAAAGTTAAGACTTGTAGAAAGCATTTTTTCATGAGCATGCATGAACAAAATAAACAATATTACTAATCCCGTATAATATTAATCGATAAAATATTTGTATCTTTATATATCACACTCAAAATTTGTCAAAAGTTGCAAAATATTGATGTTTACATTAAACTATTTGTAAAAATATTTTTAAAAGTGCATAAATTTCCTTGTTACTTTCAAAAGAAAAAAATTGTAACTTTTGGAGATAACAATATTAAGTTTGTTCTTATGAGGAAGTAACAAAAGTTAAATACCTTTCAAATAAAAAAATAACACAACTTTTGTACGAAACATCAAAACTTGTTTAGTGAATGTTGTAAATGATATACCAATATACCATTTCACAGTAATGGTTTAATTTGGATTTGTTGTGTCCATATTGTAGATACTCACAATAGGAAAAGTGTTTGGACTTGTTTGATTTGCTAGGATTTGGCTACCAATAAGAAACAAGAGGTTAAAAACTTGTATAATTGTTCTCCTAATATTGGCTTTTTGGCCATTATAAATTAAAAAAAATTAAAATTACTAAAATAAATTAATAAAAAACAATTTATCAAAATAAATACTTTCGGCCATGTAGGAAAGAGAGAGAGAGAGAAGAAAACGTGAGTACTGGAGATGAATTTCAAAAAATGTCAACAAAAGTAACAAAAACTTCAACAATTGTGACGTTTTCCAATTTAACAAAAACGTCAATGTTGGAGACATTTTCCAATTCAACCAAAACGTCAACACTTGAGATGTTTTCCAAACACTTGGGCCATTTTCCAATTCAAGGTCACATGAAGACACATTTCGTCCCATGTGCCACGTTGCCAAGTCTTGATGAAGACACGGGTAAGATGAAGGTGTCACACAATGTGACGAGAATTGTTTCAAAGCTGAAGACGTCAGCCTTTTGGACAACTTGCTCGCTCCCTTTTCACGCATAATAATTTTAATTGTGTGTATTATTCATGTAAAATTACCATTTTCCTAATATTATACTACCAATGACAGCATTATCATATTTTTAATTAATGTATTAAATATAACTAGTTATGTTTAATATATTAATTAAAAGTATCATAAATTACAAAATCTATTATTTATCAATATTTATTACTAATACATAATTAATTTCTATTTTTATTAAAAAAAATAAATATATTGAAGTATAAATTGAATATAATATGAATAATAGGTAGTTTGAATAATAATAAAATATAATTTATAATGTTCAGATTGATAATTGTTTGTGTTTGGAAAGTTTTTACAAGTACAAATAGAGAAAATGGCAAAAAATTTAAATAGATTTACTTATTTAAAAAAATCAAATTATAATAATAACAACAATATATCTTAAAGTAATAGAAAACTATTCTTTCATAATATAAATAATAATAATAATAATAATAATAAATGAAATTAGAGCCTGGCTGAGGAGTTGTCCAAGGATGGATTTAATTAATTTCAGGTCAAATTTTTTTAGGTTATCTCATGTTCGGAGTTTTTTACATCAGGCAAGTAAATTTTTCCAAAACTTTTTGAAATGGATAATTTTTCCAAAACTTTTTGAGATGGATAATTTTTCCATTCATTATAGCTTCTACATAAAATGTCAATGCACTTGATGTTTTCTAGCCAATACGGGTTCTACAAAAAACGTCAATACCCTTGACGTTTTCCATTCATTATGGCTTCTATAGAAAACGTCAATACCCTTGACGTTTCCCATTCATTCTGCACAAAACGTCACTGAGGATGACGTTGTGTTCCCACGTATGCATGTGTGTTTCTCTCTCCTATCTTACGTGGCTAAAAGTGTTTATTTTGATAAAATTTTTTTATTAATTTATTTTAGCAATTTTAATTTTTTTTTAATTTATAATGGGCAAAAAACCCTTGATATTTATAGCTAGAAGCTTATAAAGTTGAGCCCAAATCACAAATCTAAATTGGTTCATGATATATACACTTTTTTTTTAAGTACACCTCCTTTTTAAAAAAAATAATTAAAATTTAAAAATATTCTTAATTTTTTATTTGTAAGTTTTTTAATTTTACACCCACAATATTTAATTTAGTACTTTTTTTTCACATATCTTCTCTCTTTTTTTTTTTTTTTTTCAATTTTCACATGCATCCCCTTAGCTTTCCTTCACTCCCACCTATTTTGGTAGGTAACTTTAATTTTTTTAGTTTTACATTACTTTCTTCCCCTCTCCTCTTTCAATTTCCTTACTATTATCTCCTCTTTCCTCGCTTTTAGTTTTCACACATACAAAATGTAGAACTAATTTTCAAAAATATTATAGGAGTGTGTGTGGCTTTCTCCACAATGACAATTGTGTTTTTTTACATATTATTTTGGAAAGTACTTTCTAAAAATATGTAAAAAATACAATAGGAAGATTTTTCTAGAACACTAATTTCAATATCTCGCACAGTACTCTGTAATAGTAAAAATATTTTTTTCATAACGCTAAACTCAATATTAAGGTTTTTAGAAGAGTGAAAGAAGAGGAAGTGTTGGAAGAAAAAAAATGTGTCTAGTTCGGTAAAATCTGTCGAGGAAGTCGCATATACTTACAATGTTGTCACGTACCAATTCTACGGTCTGGGTACATATCAAAAAGTGAAAGAGGTGAGGTAGGAATAAAATAATGTAAAAATTAATAGAGCTAAAATTACCTACTAAAATAGGTGAGAAATTGGGAAGAAAAAAAAACAAGATAATGCATGTGAAAATTGAAAGAGAAAAAAAAGGTGTGAAAAAGAAAAAGAAAGTAGCAAATTAAAAGTTGGAGGTGTAAAATTAAAAAATTAAAAAAAGAACTACAAATATTTTATAATTTTTTTTTTTTTAAAAAAAGAGGTGTACTTAAAAAAAAAAAAAAAAGAGGTATATATAATGAGCCTCTAAATTTTATCTAACAGTGAGGCATTGCAACACATATAGATCCAAGGCCCATGGGCTTGCCCATGCCATGAACCCAAGCATGCCCAAAAAGATACAAAGTGGGGGTCTTTTGGGGCTTAAGGTAAACTAGGAGGGAAAGCAAGACCATCAAATACATTAAACAATCAATTTGAATCCTTAACATTGAAACTTCCTTGAACTTCTGTCACTATTCAACTTCAATCCTTGTCATGCAATTCAATAATTAATAAATTAATTAATTTACAGCAAATCAATGAAAAATTCTTAATACAATGTTATTTTATTTTTAAAAATAAAATAAACCTAAAGTGTTTGTCATTTTCTTTTCTATTATTAATGTAAAGCTATTATTATCAATAAATGTTAATGAGTATTGTTGAAACTTAGACTATTATAATAAATTTAATTTAAACTAGTGTATATACTTTAAATGTTAAAAATAATAAATTTATTTTTATTTTTGGTTTTATTATATAAAATTTGATGATATTGTATTTTTTAATATTATTTTTTGTATTATTATTTTATTAATATATATGAATTCAACTACAATTAAATTATTAGACTTTATATGGGTATTTTGATCGCTTCAACAATCAATTTGATTTTAAAAACATCGAATATAACACTGGACCAATTCCACAACCAATCAACCCTATCATGGCTGGAGAATAGTTCCACACTTTATCATTAAAATTCAACAATTCGGTTTAATTTATCGAGAACCTAAAATTTTAGCCTTTTCTTTTAAAAAAATCAAATAGCAAACACTTTTTTAAGTTAAAATATCATTTGATCCTTGAAAGTGTATGTGAGCGATACTTTGGTTCTGGAAAGCAAATATATTTTAAATGAATTCTCAAAAAGTTTCTGTTAAACTTAAAGGGCAGGCTTTTGTTTCCCTTAAAAGTAAAAAAAGGCTTAGATGTAGTTCTTTGAATATTCTTATGTTATTTTGAATTAAAAATAATTTTTTCACATTGATCATTCGTGTCATGTTTTTATTAGGTGAATTATTAATATAAAATTTAATTCTGATTAAATAACAATATAAATATAAATATATATATA